GTTGTTTTCTCCTCCGGATTGTTTATCCCGATATGCTTGGTAATTTTTAAACTCAACACCAGACTGTGATTTTGAACTTGTCAGATGCTGGATATCTTTGTGTTCCTGTAAGCCTCTGCAAGCCCTGATCGGGACACAGTTGTTACCTGAAAACAGTTTGATCCTTTGGTCTTTCGTTTATTATTAGCACTGGGGCAGTCAAAGGCTCATTCTTTCCCATGGCTGAGGCAGACCCTCCTGATACTCTACCCAGTATCACAGGAATCATGGAAATTGTCCGGGTGGGAATAGAGGCTGTTCATCCCTAGACCTGTATGCCTCCTGAGCACTGCTACCTCTAGTTCTCTCCACTGTTCGTTTCCCGGGTCTCAGGTACTTTCCACACACAGGGGCTCCTCTGCAGATCTCGGAGGTTCTCTCCTCCCTAACACACTGTCCTGCGAATCCCAGCGGTCTTGCTCCCCTGGCCTCTCAGCTCCCATTTGCTCAGAGACCCAGCCAGACATCACGTCAGTTCCCTTCTCTGAGCTGTGACTGGAGAGCTCTCGCCAGCGGTCAGGCAGCAGCTAGTGGAGGGCTCACTCTGGTTCCCACCCTGCACGATCCGGTATTGGCTGACGCAGTGTAAGCCATCCTTTCGTGTTTGGTTTGGTTACGAGCCCTGTTGGTGTAGTGAGTAATGTGTTTTGGTTACGAGCCCTGTTGGTGTAGTGAGTAATGTGTTTTGGTTACGAGCCCTGGTGGTGTAGTGAGTTATGTGTTGGGCTGCTATCTGCCAGGTCAGCCGTTTGAAAACACCAGTAACTCTGAAGGAGAAAGATGAGGCGTTTTACTCTCATATAGAATTACAGTCTCGGAAACCCACAGGGAGCATTTCTACTCTGACCTGTGCGGTCACTGTAAGTCAGAATCAACTTGATAGCAGTGAGTTTGGGTTTGTTTGTTTGTTTGATGTTTTGGCTGGGCAGGTATATAGATAAATTCAGACCCTATACCCCTTCTCGACTGGAAGAGTCAATCCTGATAGCTGTCTGTATTGTTGGGTTGTCATCAAGAGAGAGGAAGAGAACATTTGTCAGAGAAAATCAGCTTTGCCAACATCATCCAATTCATAGATTCCTGGAGTTACCAAACCCTTAAAGACCCTTTAAGTCTTAGGAGCAGTTGTCTTCGGATATGGACCTTGCATTGAGATTCCTAGAGTCTACATTTGAAAAGGCCTAAAAATTTGAGGACATGGATTTGCAGCACAAAGGGATTAACAAACTAGCATCAGTACTTGCTAGTTTGAGATCAAACGTAGGGACCCTAGGGGACCATGTAAATTTTTAAACAGAGGGTAGAGCAGGAAGTCCTGCTGAAGGCAGTCTCTTCAGGCAACTGGAGTCATCCTCCACAGAGCAGAAGCAGGGTGTCCAGTAAGAACGCTGTAAAGGGTAAACTGCTTTGTGAGATTGAAGTGCTTCCTCAACAAGACCTGCACACAGAGAGCAGTCTCCTGACCCATCCAGAGTATCTCTGCCAGAAGAGGGAGGGCTGTTTCCAGAGAAAGCCAGTCATGAGGCCCAGTGGAGAAATGATATCTGGGGAGTCTCTTCTCGCCACTGACTAAGAAGGAAAGCATGCAGCGGGGAGAAAACTGAGCAGTAACGCCATACCAGCTCGTCGGAAAGGGGGGTGGACCAAGCGACAGCTGACATCGAGGGAACTGTCCTCTAAAATTCTCACTGCAGACACCCCCCCCCCCACTGGATTCAAGATGTACACAGACTCAGGACAGCAGGTTATACCACAAATAAACAATTGACTTGGGAGACAAAAGAATTGGATTTGAGTTCTGATGCATGATGCTTACTTAGGTAAGTAGCATTGGCCCACAGTTCCACTTCTCTGTACTTTGGCTTCCTCATCTGTGCCACGACGATCCGGAAAAGGCAGAGTAATGAAAGAAGGGATGAGGTCTGTTGGGCCTGGGTAAAGTACGAGGGTTTGGGGGATCTTGTGTCTGCTCTCGGCCTCTTTTCCCTCAGGCTCATGTATTTTTGCTCTTTTTTCTTACTGCTGATCGGTTCCAACCATGCCGGCCCGTAAAGAGATAATCACGAGGATTGAGGTTCTGTCCCGGTTGCCCCCATCTCTAGTTCACTCTGCTCCCTTGTTAACAGTGATGACTTTGGACCGCACTCCTCCTCATCCCCAGGATATAGAGCCAAGAATGCCAACGCCGTATCACCCACGGAGGCGACTCTTGGCTCAAGAAGTGGTTTTTCTTCACCATCTTTCCAACCTTTTCCTTCAAGAAGCATGTTCCTTGCCCCTCTGCTTCATCTCAGGGATCTGGAGCCATGCTGGTGGAGCAGGGATATCTGTACTTTCTGAGTCAAGTGTTCAGAGATTTTTCTTTTTGAGGTAGAGTTATTGGCTAGGAAATACACACTCACAATTCTGGGTTCTCCAGCGTTTCCTGAGAGGAACTGAAGCATTTCTTAAAAACCTCTCTCCAGTCAATTCTGGTAGCATTGCTGAGAGCTGACTGTAGCCTGGCCCCCAGCCCCAGGGTTCGCCCCTGATTGGCGTTCCACATCTCTCCCTGAGCTTCCTTGTGACGCTGGATGACTATAGATTTGCTTTCCAGAATCGGCGTGCCTCTCCTTAATGCTGTGGCCAAGCCCTGTCCCCACAGGAGGCTGGCCTTGCCCAGGGGGGCGGGATTTCTCTTCCTCCTCCATCTCCCATCGCTGCCACTTCAACGCCCCAACCTTGGGGCAGTATTTGTCTTGGGGAGCTGCTTTTCAGACAGCATTGCTTATGGCTCTAGAAGCCAGGGAAGGCATTGCGGAAGGCCTGCCCTTCTCCTCCAGCTTGTATGCACATCCAGTCCAGAAGGGGAACTCAGGGAGGTTCGGTCCCGGGCCTTTGAGTTTGTCCGGGAGACTCACCAGGCGATCTGGAGGCCGCTCCACAGGCAACGAAGAGCGGGACGAAGCCCATTTTAATCCCCACTTTTCGTGTTCACCAGTGGCTGCTGCTCACCAGCCTCCCGTTGTCAACAGCAACCGCACGTGGACCACTTCCCAAACATTGTACAGATATTAAGAAATACAATGCACATCTGAGTCATCAGCTCTAAGTCAGCATCTAACAGGGTATGTTCTTCAGGGAAGCCTGTGGAGGAAGCATTGTATACATGGCGTATAATATCGTCATCATGATAAAAAGGCCAAGACAGCTCCTATTCTGATGAACAGTACTTACGGGTTGGGGCTAGAGAAGTGTGCAGGCGTGTGTGTGTGTGTGTGTGCGCGCGCGCGCGTGTGTGTGTGTGTGTGTGTACACACGCACTAGCTTATGAAACATAAAGTCACCAGACTCCTCCGTGGCGTCTCTATAAACAGCTAGCCTTCCCGGGCGCCGCCGGGAGTAGCCCGCATCGCCTCCCTCGCTGTGGTCACTTCCTCCCTGGAGCTGCTGACCCCGACCCCTCCGCAGAGATAGCTCGGTGCCAAAAGATAAACACCAGTCGTTGCGGGCGGGGGGTGGGGGGAGCAAGGCTCCAGGGACTGGTTTCCTGGCATTTTCCCTTCGGAACACAGTCTGCGTGGATCGGCAGCCCCAGCCCGAGATGTGCTGTGAGGACGCGGGCAGCTCGCCTGCCCCCCAGCTTCTTTCGGAGCGAGCCCCGGGAGGGGGCACCTGGCTGCGGCCTGGCTGCTGAGAGGCGGCGTGCGAGCCCCACGCACAGCTCCTCGGTGCCAGCGCCGGGAGCCGTGGGCTCAGCGCCCACTCGGCTCTGGGGGCCCGTGGGGGCGGGGGGCGGCACAGAGCTCACATCGCGCTGCCAGCTGACTTTCCCTCCCTGTCGCTGCTGGCAGAATACGTACACCAACGCGGACAAGCTCCTGGAAGCGGCGGAGCAGCTGGCTCAGACGGGGGAATGTGACCCCGAAGAGATCTACAAAGCCGCGCGGCACCTGGAGGTGCGGATCCAAGACTTCGTGCGCAGGGTGGAGCAGCGCAAGCTTCTCCTGGACATGTCTGTCTCCTTCCACACACACACCAAAGAGGTAAGGGGGGCGCCCCCGGGAAGCGGGCTTCGCGGGGACTCATTTGTTCTGCGGAGTCTGGGGGTGGCTTCCTAGTAAAATGGGCCCCGGAGTGTGATCCCTGTCTGGGTGGCCTGGGGTGGGGTGGGATGGTAGACCCTGCTAATGTTGATGACACTGGAAATTAGCTTCTGATCAGCCTGAACCCAAACGGGACAGATGCCTTCCCCAGCCCTCCTGCGGAAGGAAAGACAAGGAAAAATAAGTGTGTAGGGGTGGGGTGGAGGGGTACTGTGAGAGAAGAGCTCTGATGGCACAGTTGTTAAAGCACTCGGCCACGAACCAAAAGGTCAGTGGTTCGAACTCACCAGCTGTCCCTTGGGAGACAGCGATGCAGTCTGTATCTGTAATGGTTGACAATCTTGGGAACTCGGAGGGGCAGTTCTGTCAGATAGGGTTGCTGTGAGTCAAAATTGGTTGCCGCTGAGGGGTTGGGGGTTTCGATACCAGAGTGTTCAGCCTTAGCCTGAGAACTTTGGGAACGCCAAGAGCCTCTGAAAGAGGAAACAGATGAGCAGAGACTCCCTCCCTCCCCCATGCCTGGTAGTCTTTGGTTGTTGGCCGATTCTCATCAGAAATCAGAGCCCCGTAGAACTTGGATCACCATACTCCTCGGCAAGGAGCACAAGGAGGTGGCCCAGGTGGTCTGTCTGCATCTGTCTGCCCGGGTCACGTGAAAGGCATGGGTTCTCACCTGGACATGAAGGAAGGGAGCCGCATGGGTGGGACTGGAGACTGCGCCATCTCCGGAGTGGAGACAGGAGAGGGTGGGTCATGCTGGGCTGTTAGCAGGACAGACAGGCCCATAGAGGAGAAGGGCTGCAGACCTGCAATGGCCTTCCATTTCTGATGAGCACCTATGCTCTGAGAAGGCGGAAGTGGTCAGCCAGGAGGAACCTCCAGCTGCTCCCAGAATAACACTCTTGGCAGGGGAACTCCTTAGGGGCTTGCATGCTGGTGTTCCCTCGGGGATCTGTTGTAATAGAGTGTTAGTTAAAGTCTGATTGCTACTCAGGAAAAAAAAAATAACCCTACTTAATTAAGTTGATTTTTTAAATATTTGAAATGCATTTAGAAGCAGGGTTGTTAATTCTTCACAAGCCTTTCTGTCAGATCGTGGGAATGAATGCCAATCATTGCAGCGCCTATCAGAGGAAAACATGAAAAGATAATGTTTTCTAAATTGAGGTTCGTAGGCAGATGAAGGACCAGCCTGCCAGCCTGGAGCGGGCCCTGCTTCCTCTCCGCTGGGCTCACAGCCCCTCTCTGATGAGAGCCTGCAGAGCTGGGGGATTAGACAGGCTCCCTGCCTGCCTGTCTGCTTCCTTCTAGCTCCTCTGCTTCCTAGTGAAGGTACCAAAGGCCCCCGTGTTCCCCATTTCAGTACAATGGAACGGACGGGGTAGAACTGCCCCTGAGCGTTCCCCAGACTGTAACTATTTATGGGAGTAGAAAGCCTCATCATCATATATATATGTATGTATATATCAAAGCCATCGAGTCAATGCCAACTCATAGCGACCCTACCGGACGGGGTAGAACTGCCCCTGAGAGTTTCCGAGACTGTAACTATTTATGGGAGTAGAAAGCCTCATATATATATGATGAGGCTTACGATAGATATATGATGGCATACGATATGCCATCGAGTCGATGCCAACTCAGAGCTACCCTATGGGGTAGGGAAGAAGTGTCCTGTGAGTTTGTGCAACCGTAACTCTTTACAAGAATAGAAAACCCCATCTTTCTCCCACAGGTGTTCATATTAAAGGCCAGTAAAGTGAGACCTGGAGGATTTTTCCCTACCAAGGAATTTACTAGAACAAGAAGCTGTCAGGAAGTAGCATAGTCTCTTTGCCTGGACTCCCAAAATATGGAGGGAGAGGGGAGCTTCCAAAAGCTCATGGAAAAATAAAAATGATTGATGATATTTTTTCATGAACTTTTTGAAGCCCTCTCATATATGTATCTGTACATATATATACCAACATGTCTAATACAGAAAAGTCCTCAAACTATTGGGCTTACTTTATGTTGGGAAGCTAGTCATTTTTCTAAAAAGGAGAGGGAGGGGTAAGCCAGTTCATTCAAATCTTTTAGTTATGCGAGTTCTTGGGCTTGAGCTCAGCAGACAGTGCAAGTGAAGGAAGCTGGGGTGGAGCATCTGCGTTGCAAGTTCTCCTCGGGTCCGTAGAGCATATAGGAATGGAGGAATAAATGGTTCGATGTGAGCATCCCTCAATGGACTCATGAAGGATCTCCTGAGGTTTGTTCTTTCTGTACTTAGTACCTTTCATGTCGTCTCACCCCCTGTCACACTTTGCTAAGTGTGGGTCCTATTTGATCCTGGGCCCTTTAAATCTTGACCCCCTCCTCTTGACTTTCCATGCAAACTTCTGTTTTTTATTCAAGGCAGTAGGAGCTGAGTCTGATCCTCTACAAGTCTGTTACGGAACAAACTTGTTGCTGTAGCTTTTCCCCACTTACAGTGAATGAAAGTAAGTGACCTGCTTAGTGTTGCTAAACTGGGTTGCTGATAAGTTGCCTTCCTTGAGGAGCCCTGGTCATGCTACGGTTAAAACAGGTTGCTGCTAAACAAAAGGTTTCAAGCCCAGTAGCCACTCCTCAGGAGAAAGATGTGGCCATCCGTGGCCATCCGTTTCCATAGAGATATACAGTCTCAGAAACCCTACGAGGCAGTTCCCTTCCGTCCTGTGGGTGTCTCTGAGTCAGCATTGACTTGGCAGTGGTGGGTTTGGTTTACAGCCTTCCTACCCAGTCTGGTTCACTCCTTTTTTTTCATGTCGTTTCTCCTGTCCTCACTTCCTTCTTACCCATCTCAGTTGCTTGCTGAAATTTTGTATTAGGGCCGATGTGTAATAGAATGTGAGGTGTGATCCAACTGTGATCAAATAAAAGTCACCTTTCTAGAAGATTCCTGAGAGTCAACTGAATTTCTATCTCCAGAAGGGATTTGACCTAAACTTGTGACTCCCTAGGCTGAAGCTTATGCTTTTACTTTTGTCCACTTCCTGCCACAGAAGGCTTACCCTAACTAGAATCAGACAGAAACAGAAAGAAGGCATGAAAAAACGGTTAACTCCCAGCCTCGTGTGCTCTGCAGAGGAACAGTCTGCATAATGCTGCTGGCCCTGCTTTGTGGGGGGCTCTTGAGAACCCTAGGAGTTGGAAGGATTGAAATCTAAGAACCATTTCATTGCAGTTATTCATAATCTTCAAAGTAGAGGCCATCTAACCGCTTGACGCTGGGCGGTTCACTAAAGAAGTCACGGCGCATCTATGTAGTGAAGCATGCACTCATGATAAGTCACACGGCCAAAGGTCCGCCTTGGGCTGAGGAAGGGCAGGTGGTGTAAAAAGCTGTCCATCCAGCAAGACCACACTTTGGTTCATACACATGTGGAATAAAGACTAGAAGGAATCAGACCCCAAACTTCAGAATATTAAGGGTGATTTGGTTTTCTTTTGTGCATTTTTCTATTTTACAGGTACTCTTCAATGGTAATCATTCAGTTTAGAATCTGAAACTATCTCACTACATGCTGTCACACAAAAATAAAGCAAGTCTTGATCCCTATGGACAAGGGCTACTTCATAGAGAAGAGCGACCAATGTGCCCTCAGCTCCTTCTTACGCGTCCAGAGCCTCAACCTTTAGTACAGACTGTACCAAACTTTCACGTCGCTCCTTTTTGCCTGGGGCCAAGAGGGAAGACGGCTCTGTTTTCTGGCCTGGCGAGCAAGGGAAGGGGTAGGGAAAAGGGCAGACCCGAATCCTCATTTTCTGTGTCCAAGGATGAGGCATTTGGCATTTCCAGCAAGTGCCGTCTGCTCTGCAGAGATTGTCAAGACAGGATTCTCCTTCCTTGCTATGTTTCCATGGAGATGTTGCAATTCCTGGGCTTTCAAAATAGCCACTTTTAGGTACTTTTGCACTAAGAATATGAGAGTCAAACTGATGAAGGAGATTGGCCAAAATAATCAGGCTCAGCACTTGGCAAGAGCTTCATTAAATGCCCACTTCCCTTTATTCCTAACCTTGCAGAAGCATCCTTCCATGCTTCTCTGTTCCCAAACAGGCATGCCTGCACTTGCTCGCACACACATCAGTCCCATGGACCTCTATCCACCTACCCTAGAACCAGAAGTAAAGCACTCTTCAAAAGAAGGATAATGGTCACAAGAACAAACTAGCTCCTTGTCCACCCAAAGGTTGATGGGTCATTCCTAGCCAGAGGCGCCTCAAAAGAAGGGCGGGCCCGGTGATCGGCTTCCACAGGGTCCCACTTTGGAAGCCTAATGGAGCAGCTCTCCTCTGCGCTCAGGGGCTCTGGGTGGGTCGGAACAGACTTGTCAACAACTAGCGTCAGCACAACATGATAGTGACTTAACAAATAAAAGCTGGTGGTCCAGGCCAAGGAAAAATGATGTCTTCCAGATGAGGGAGGGGCGCTTCGCCCTGCCGAAACAGTGCTCCTTTCAGCAACCCTCTGGGCACAGTCAATTGTATGGGTGTGAGTCGAGAAGTATTGCCACCCAAGTTCTAGTTCAGACCTGCTCAGGTTTAGCCCATGCACAGCATGTTGAGACACGCCTCTACCATAGTGCGTGGCTACAGACATGTTCTCTCCATGTCAGTCTCCTTAGTGTGCCTGCCGAGGGGATCTGCGGGCCCAGCGTACATGCAAAGACAGAGGTTATCTCAGAAGGGTCTGGTGACTGTATTGGGGACTCCAAAGCTGTCATATTAATAGACTGTCTTGAGGCACACAGATCACATCATGAAGATGTTTAAGAAGATAGAAAATGGCACGGGTGAGAATAAGACCAGAAACATTGTGTTAGGGAACTGCTTTCTGTGGCCACAGTGGACCAGCCCGTTCTTTCAGGTCAGCAAAGGCTGTCCTTGGGAACTTTTGCTGGGAAACCTTACCCCATCCATCCTACATCCTTTATCTTGCCCCTTCAGGCGTCTTGTTGTTCCCCAAACTCACAGAGCCTTTCAGAAGAACACAGTGTGAGTCCCTTGAGAATTCCAAAACTACCATTTTGGGGTGCTCAGAATTCTTCAGAGAAGGGCTCTCTCCCACTGCTATCAAGTCCATACTGGCTCATAGCGGCCCCATAGGACATAGGAGAACGGCCCTCCTGCATTTCTGAGACCCTAACTCTTTGTGGGAGTCAAATGTCTCATTTTTCTCCCGTGGGGCAGCTAGCAATTTCAAACTGCTGGCCTTGTGGTTAGCAGCCCAGCATAGAACCCACTCTGCGACCAGGACTCCTTCCGGGATGAGCTACAGGTATGGACACACCATCTTCAGAAAGGTATAGACTTAAGTGGGGGACACATCGAGAAATAAGCTGTTCACGTTTTGGTATTTCTGTTTAATAAGGCCTCTTGTGGTTTCTCTAGTGCGGCTTTCTTACTTACCCTGACATGCAGCAGTCTGCCAAGGCCGTGGAAATGGGCAGCCAGTCAGCAGGAGAAAGAGAGGGTGTGAAATGCCCTCTTTCCTTGGTCCCTCAGCTGCAGCGCACTCGATCTCTACAAAACTCCTTCCTTGCCCCCTCCCTTCCCGCAGTTTTCAGGGGTTCTTTCCTCAGGCTGCTCCCCAATGGAAACTGGCTATAGGGAGGGCCTGTGGGCTGGCCCCTCCTACCTGCACACAGATTGATACTGTGGTTCACCGCCATTGGACTGGTCCCTAATTCTCAGAAACTCCAGGCACAACTATACAATCTTGTTGTGTACTGGGACTTTGGGATCCAGAGGGTTTCCACGGACTGATTTTCAGAAGTAGATCATGGGGCCTTTGGTTCTTTGCTTTGTTTTGTTTTTTCCCTTAGTCCACCTTAGTCTGGAAGCTCCACAGACAGCTGCTCAGCATCCCAGGAGCACGCGGGCCTCCCCCGGCAGTGAGCGGGAATCGAACGCACGCGGGAAGGCGGTCTCCTTACCGACGAACCACCACCGTGCCCAGGGTTTTAAAGCTAGCCTCTTATATAGCAGTAAACATTCTCCTTGGCTGTGATCCTACTGAGGTTCCAGAATTTTCCAAATGAGACCCACGCTCATGGATTGGGTACCCTTGACTGCAATCACACGAATTCCATGGGGGAGAAAGTGTGCTAAACCATCCCGTGCGGAAAGCAGGGCTTTGTGAGAATCCCACAGCGGCATGCTGGTGGAGGGGCATAGCATTCTCTTGGTGAGGAAGAGGATGGGTAGAGCGGGTGCAGTGCTCACGTGTTAGCCCCTAGACCAGCACAAGGTGGACAGAATTACCCAAGGAGAGAAAACCCCAAACTGAAGATATTTCAGATCCAAGGACATGTGTCTGCTGCCACGATACAAAGGGGCTCCTTGATTTACTCAAAGGCTCCCAAAAGTTCTGGGTAGAACATGGGCTAAAATAACGTATCTCTGACTCCCTCTCTACCTATTGTTTTCTTTCTCTGCTGAGCTGTTTTCCCCCCTGGCCAAACCCCAGAATGTATCTGTCCCACTAGCTCTGCTAGGTAAAGCCTCCTGGTTTCAAAGCAAACACCAGTCTCATTTTTCCCACCCTCATTTATAAAAATGTTCACTATGTGGAACCCTGTGACCTGGTCCTGGAGACCCATCTTAAACAATAGGAAGAGCTATCCAAAAAAAAGTGTTTTCAATAAATCCGTCTAACTCTTCAACATGTTCAGTGCTTATTGTAGTTCAAAGCTCTACTGAGCTCTTCTAAGTTGGTGAGACTCCTCACAGCACCCAGGCAGCAGTCCCTCACCTTGAGTACCATAGGGGAAAGCTTGCCTAGTTGCATTGAAATTAGGATAAGGTACATCTTTAGCATCCCACATCCCAACCAACCATCCTGAGAAGCACAACACCATCTCACACCGCACAGGTCATGCTTCCTCATCTCCATCTACTGCTTATGGAGCAGCACATCCTCGGTCGCCTCTTCAGACTCTCATGACAACTCCCGGCAATCAACGTCTGGCTGCCCGGACGCCAGTATGCCCAGTCCTCTCTTCACTCCCTTTGCAAAGGATGCTGTCGTTTCTGTCCCCGCTCGAAGACGACACCTGTGGGCTTCGCCACACTGCAGGGGGAGTGAAGTCACTTGTGGGGAATGCCAGTTCTAGTGGGGTCAGCATAGTAAGGATGGGAACTGAGTGCCACTATTGGAACACGCTGAGCCCTCCGTGTGCCGAGGAGGAAGCTCAGTCGGATGTGGCAGGGAGTCGATCCGTGCCTCGCCCCCAGCCCGCTCTGCCCTGAGTGCAGTCTCCGCTCTCTCCCCACAGCTGTGGACATGGATGGAGGACCTTCAGAAGGAGATGCTGGAGGACGTCTGTGCAGACTCGGTGGATGCAGTGCAGGAACTGATCAAGCAGTTCCAGCAGCAGCAGACAGCCACCCTGGATGCTACACTCAACGTCATCAAGGAGGGCGAAGACCTGATCCAGCAGCTCAGGTCAGCGCCTCCCTCCCTGGGGGAGCCCAGCGAGGCCAGGTCAGCATGGCAGTGCTTCCCGGTGGGAGATGCCTTGGGCTCAAGGCGAGATAAGTCATGTCCCAGTCTTGACTCGGCCGTGTGTGAGCGTCAGTTTCTCCCTCTGTGAGACCGAAAATGCCTGCCACCGTGTCTCCCTTGAGCTTCGAGTGAAATGATGAATGTGAGCGCGCTGATGTGTCAGAGCCTGCGTTATCACCCATGATGTTTTTCAACACCGAATAACTAGTGTTGCCCTTAAGAACTCTGGCATATTTGGTCACATGGGGATGGGCCGTGACAGAATAGAGTGCTATTTGGCATCGGATCTTAGGCTGAACTCCGAACGCCAACAGCCCAGTCGGCATTGTTACCCTGTGCTGAAGGCTGGCTTTGGCCCCAGGAAGATGTAGATGTTGTATGAGTGCTGTGGTCACACTTAGTCCCCTTAACAATCCCGTGTATGACCTCTCCCCCTTGACTCTGTGCTGCCCAGAAAATAAAACAACTCCAGACTCACCTTAAACAGAGATAGCCAAGAGGGGGTGGGGAGTCCTTGTGGGAGAGCTTGTGGTCACATGGAGTTAGCACCACTGCCTCCTTATGGCTGGCATTGAGTCTAACGTTTCCCACTCCTGTCGAGGGCGCTGACTCCTCAGATGAAGGTGCCAGGAGGCCTTGAGCAAGCCCCCAGCAACGTGTGCCCTGCCCAGGTGCTGGAGAAATAGGACGCGATCGTGCTAATGATGCCTGTCCACAGGGACTTGTTCCTCTCCCCAAATTACGGTGTGCTGGGACCCGTGCCAGCTATGGGCAGAAATAATCTCATCAACAAGTCCCAGGCCAATTTGGAGGCCCCAGGGGAATTACTTCCATTGGAGAGGGCTTTCTTGCCCCCCTAGACCACTTGTCCAATTAAATAAACGATGAGAAAGTACCATTAGAAGGCCCTAGTGGGTTTTCCTGTTGGAAATTAGCCATTTCTATTCCAAACACATGTGCAGTGGCCTGAGCCCTCCCCACTATTGTATCCTGGCCAGGCAGATTCTTTCCCTTCTACCCACCCCCGTGCATAATTATGAATATATAACTCATAGCAGTCTGCCTATCAAGGAAACTCCACTGCTATTTGCTTGTGAAGAAAAACTCAACCTCTCTGGGCCTCAGCTGAGCTGTTTCATCTGTGTAATTAAGGGGATTGCTAGGGAGGGGGTGCGGGGGGGCGGGGGGCTCTCTCAGCTCAGGAATTTAGTGATGATTTTGTGCTATCTCGCCAAACACTTTTCACAAGCCTGCATGTCCTCACTCTGCCCAGGTAGATGTCACTTACTTTTAGCATCTATCCGCCAGCACTACACAATGCCTCGGGGCTTAAGGCTACTACTGCAGGACAGGGAGGGGAATGATGCTTGTTGTACAGGTTCCGTGGGTCTTAGACAGTGCCACTGGCAGGTGACCAAGAGCCATGGGTGACCATTCACTCCTTCGTTAGCCCAACTCTGCCTGGGATCCCGTCGTAGTCAGGACCAATGTCACAATGAGGTGCTTTTAATGAAAATAAGTCTGTCCTCAGACGGTTTAGTAAACTAGAAGTAAACTAAATTCAGGGTGCTGCCACTCAGGGAAGATTTCATCCCTTCTTCTCTCTGTAGGGAGAAATCTTTCTCTTTTGGCTTCTGGTCTTCAGGCATCTGTCATCCATTCTGCGCTTGCTCCTCTTTCTGATCAGCACTTCTTCTATAAACCTCAAAGGCCCTTAGGTTTTGACCCCAGAAGCCAGTAGGTTGAATGCACACTCTATACTGGTAGGGCCTCACTAACTTAACAAAGGGTGCTCGAGTCCCATTTGGGATCGCACCCTAAGTTCTGAGGATTACCCACACACATTTTGAGTCATATTATTATTAAGATTCCCACACATATGTCAGGGACAACACAATTCAGTCCATAACCACTCCTCTCCCTGACTTCAGGACCAAAGACAGCGAGAAGGAAGTGGTGCTCAGTGGTCCTGGTCAGGATGCCTCACACACATCGCCACACGTCATCTATAGGTCTCCGCGGCTCTTCTGGCCTCGTCACGGAGGCGCTTGAATGGCCACTGCATCCTCTCCGATTCCCAGCGAGTGTGACGCTGACCCTCTGTACTGTACAGCACAGTCAGAAATCATCCTCTTCCTTCCGGAAACTGGTGCTGGAAAGACACTGAGATGCATCATTCAAAGGACAGTCATATCCCACCACTAAGTCCCCAGCAAATGCATGATTAGTAGTCTTGAGTGCCTCTCTTCGCTTAAAAACCAGAAATTTATTTCCTCGCAGAGTGCCTGCTCTAGGAGCAGGCTTCTCTCTTTCTCT